TTTTAAAAATTCTTTTAAAAATTCTTTTAAAAATTCTTTTAAAAATTAAAAATCTCACTGGGCCTCCTGTATTTTAACCTAAACTCTCGTGACATTTTGTACAAGATCAAAAAGATCTTATGTGATTTGCCATCATTTCTATTTTAATTCAATATGGGAAGTCATAGGGATGTAGGCAGAGCAGAGATACCTTGCAGATACCATATTAGCACTCCCGACACTAGGTCGAACAATGAATCAGTGAAACAACTTGCCTCCAGAAGTTGCAAATGCTGCAACACTGGAAGTTTTTAAGAAGAGATTGGATAACCATTTGTCTGAAATGGTATAGGGTTTCCTTCCTAAGCAGGGGGTTGGACTAGAAGACCTCCAAGCTCCCTTTCAACTCTTCTGTTCTATTTCCATTTCCATTTCTATTATTTCCATTTCTATTTCTATTTCTATTATTTCTATTTCTATTTCTTCTATTTCTATTTCTATTCTATTCTGGATTATTCTTTCTAAGGACTGATTCATTTGTAGTCCTGCAGGCGTAGCCTATAGTAACCCATCTAGAGCTACTACATCTTTATCTTCTATCATTACTTGAGATATTCCACAGAATTTTAAGCAAACATACACCTCATATGCTACTAATGCCTCTTTCCTTGGAGAAACAATGCATGCTTTTTATTTGTGTTTATTTAAAAGACTTACATGACCACCTTCTTATACAATATAACCCTGGGTAGCTACAACAGTCAGATTACTGTAAATGCATGAAAAATACATTTTAAAAGACTTTTTGATGATTGTTTACTGAAAAGAGTTACAAAGTAGTTTGGGTTGAGTAATTTTCCTTTGGAATAGCGCATTATGCTCTAGAGGTGATCCTCAATTTACAACTATAATGGAGTCTGCCCATCACAATCTTAAGTCATGACTGACCCAATTTTAAGACCTTTTCGTGGTGATCATTAAATAAACCAATGATTCACTATGGGCTGTTTTTGCTGAAAAATGGAAGTAAATGTCATTTTATTTTTGATAAAACTCTTATAAAATGTGGCCACATGACTGTGGGACCCTGCAAACAGCTGTAAAAGCAGGCCAGTTGCCAAGAAACCAAGATATGGTCACATGAATACAGTGGGAAGGGTCACCTTGGAACTTTGGAAGCGGGTCGTAAGTCCCCTACAGGGAGGTTCACCATAAATTCAAACAGTTACTAAGCAGCAAGTCGTAAGCCGAGGTGTAAGTCTACTCCCCGTATACATGCATCTTAGCTGTGCACTTTCGTAACAGCACAGATACAATCTACTTCAACAGCCTCTCAATTAGATAAAGTTCATGGCTTTCACTGCATGCTTGTACCTTCAAAATTCTGGAGCCTTCATGAGGCTTGTGATAGATCACAGTAACTCAGTTCTTAAGAGGCGACGATCTTGTAAAGATACAATGGGTGTCTGTCTGTAGATACATCTCTTACCTTGAAGCAGAGCTGTGGATTCACATCTACACTTTCGATGATATGCGCCTAGAGTAAGAACTACATGTTAGGACAATGGAATGCAGTATCTCTCTCTCCCTCCCTCTCTCTCTCCCTCTCTCTCTCCCCCCCCCCCCCCCCCCCCTCTCTCTCTCTCCCTCCCTCCCTCCCTCCCTCTTTCTTTCAGAACCCAATATAGTGTTTGTGCCTCAAAATAACCATGGTAAAAAATAATAAGCAAGTCTTATTATTATATCTACAAGGACTAGGAATAGGGACCATGCTGCCATGGTGATGTAGTGGTTAGAATGCAGTACTGCAGGCTGCTCCTGCTGACTACCCGCTGCCTGCAATTTGGCAGTTTGATTCCCACCAGGCTCAAGGTTGACTCAGCCTTCCATCTTTCCGAGGTCGTTAAAATGAGGACCCGGATTGTTGGGGGCAGTAGGCCGACTCTGTAAAACTGCTTAGAGAGGGCTGCAAAGCACTGTGAAGCAGTATATATCAGTCTACTGCTATTAAAAATCAGGAGGATCTGGCTGCGTTTTCTCCAACTTGTTCAAAATGCAGCAGCTCTAGTAATTAAGGGTGTGCTGGAGTATATTGACATTAGTGGTCCCCAACCTTTCCAGGTTGATGGCCC